AACATATACGATCAGAACAACGTGACCCATCTGTGAGTTACACGTTCCCACGCAAGTCAAACTGCATGCATGACCCACGTGCGTCGCGCGGTTTTCAATGCGTTGAAGAGGCTCCAAAACATCAAACATTCTTGAGTGTAAGCAGTATAATCACATAAATTCAGAATAAGCATTTTTCCGCTAGGTTTGACGCTAAGACCACATGGCATGGAATGTTAGAGTTTGCCATAGTTTTATGAGAAACAAAAAAACTTGTCTGTCTACTGCCCTCACAACATTTCTTATGCAAACTTATATACATGAACTACAACTTCTTTTCTTCCTGTTATTGAAATACCGACGTAGCAGACCCAACAATTACCTGATAGATCCGGAATTACAAAAAGATGTGAAATTAGTCAACATCTAGACTACTTCGATTTGAGAAAAGATAATAGATATTTGCAAACGCATCATTGAAACTTGCAAAACTTTTCAGGCCACGGTCATGAATAGACCAGGTGGATAAAAAAACAAAAAAAAAAACACGGATTTCGAACGTTTTTGAACAAAAAGAACTGAAATTAAAGGAGAGGGCGAGTTCTGGAGACATTAGTGCAATATAATTAGAAGGCATCTTCAACATTATGCAAATTACTAGTATGAATAAGTCCTCATGTATAAGAGAATTTGGGAAAAGTTACTGTATGGGAACTGAGGGCTAAGATTTTCAAAAGATCCCCTTTAGAATTGAGGCTGAGCATGGGAAAAAGCAATTAGCGAAGAAAGATAAAAATCATTTGTTAGCTGCGCGCCTTGCAAAACCGCAAGCGATATAGAACGATCCTGTTTAGAGCTTCAATCAGCATCTTCAAAAAATCTTGCATGCAAACCGTGCATAAGGCATGCGAAAATGTGCGTTTTCAAAAATTTACCTTTTTCTTCGACTGTATGAGGAGATCTTTATAGATATCAGATCGAAGAAAACGCTGATAACTATCATTTTTCATTAGGCAGAATATATGATCCTGAAACAATTCACTGAGATTTGAGATACAATTTGTAAAAAATAATACGAACCGCTGCTTCGTCAAAACTCCAGCGATTTGGATTTTTCAAGTTCTCCTCTGTTATTTCCATTACCTGTAAACAGTCAGTTGAAGTAGGTGCAGAATGTAACCGGAAACAACTAGAAAGACAAACCTTGCAGTCCACATTCACAGGAGAAGTTGCATTTGAATCAATGAATTCATTGTAAATTTCTGTAACTAAGACCGGCACCATTCTACAGCTGCACTTCCGCAACTTTTGAACCTGCATAGAACCGTTTGGTGCAATTCTAGAGAAATGGTAACAGAGCGGAATCGCCGGCATACCTCCCACCAAAAACGAAGATTCTCGCCAGAGTATTCTTTGTCTAGGAATTTCTGCAATGTCTCTCGTCCCAAAACATCGGCAAGTAGTTCCTCGAAACATTCTTCCCAAAGTTTC